AAAACGATTATTGTCAACAAAAGATATGACTAAACAATAGAAATAATTCTAGTGATAACCGTGAAAAGAAAACGACTACAACATCAACAGTTCACAAGATACCAAAAATCTGTTTAAAATAAAACTTCTTTTACACCACCGTGCTCATCGGTCCGTGCCTCTGCTGAGGACTCCTCCAGCAACCCCATCGCACAATCCACTTCACACACACAACTCAGCGCACAGGTGTCTCATCGCGACATTTAATTGTGTTCTTTGTTCGGCATTTTCAATCTATCTTTCATTACGCTCTTATAAATCATTGTCTTCTTGTTATCTATCATCTGTTTGTATTGTAGGCTTCGACAGAAAATTTGTCATCCTCTTTGATGTCGGACAAAGAAGATAACTCAGTTGAGGATACATCTCAATTTAAGCGTTTGACCGATGCGAAACAATCCAACGGTGTGAATTTGTCACTATTGTTGTTGTTATTGTTAATGTTTTAATGATGACGGTTGTTAATGATTCATCACGGGTTGAAGTGAATTGAATAATTGTCACGCATTGATTATCGTTCAGATCTGTCATTTTCGTCGAGATTAGACGAACTGGAATTGGTTGGTGCAAACAGTGACTTCATTCAGTATGAAGAAGAGGGCAGTGCACCGGTCAAATTCGTTCTTATTGACGATGAAGACGAGAATGAAACTGGCAAAAACGATATGGCTACCATCACTAAAAACTTCAACAGCACTAAAGGAGCAGGCTCTTCGTGAGTTTCAAGCTGATTTGGTGATGTAAAAGAAGTTGTATTTTAAACAGAGTTTTGGTATCTTGTGAACTGTTGATGTTGTAGTCGTTTTCTTTTCACGGTTATCACTAGAATTATTTCTATTATTTAGTCATATCTTTTGTTGACAATAATTGTTTTAAGTGGTGGATATGCAATGAATCCCAACATATCAGTTCGTCGTGTCCCAATGATCGCTCGAAGGAGGGTGGATGAGAAGAACTCGTCCTCTGCACGAACACGACCGTTCACGTCGCAATACTTCATCGAATCAAAGGAAAAATCCAAACAGTAACTTTTCGTTATATTAAAAACTTTGTATTGTATTACTGTATGAAGTTTTTTTTAAGCGTCCAGTTTTAATCGATGTGCTTGCGTAGCAGGCATGTTCTGGTATCATTAATCGTAAGAAGTGAGCATGTTTGAACGAGAATTGGTTCTGATATATGATAATAGTATCGATTGTTTTCGTTTTGTAATGCTACGGTTATATAATGTTACGGTTACGGTTTGTAATGTTTATTAATAGATAGAATAGAAGGAAGATTTGCCGATATAGTTATATCTTTGTGTCGTGTTCGCTCCTTCTCATCTTGCTAACAATAAGTTTGTTCTTGTTAAGGCTGCTTTCACCTCCTCG